TTCTTCTCTTATAAAAACACTTTGCAGCACTGGTGCTCACCCTAGGCTCGAAAATGAAGGGCAAAAGACTAGTCTCGCTATAATAGTCAAGAGTGCACTCAACCTTTGACCCCTTGCCTTTCATTTGTTTTCAAATAGAGTCATATCTTGCATCTTGCGCTCCGTTGTGAATCGGAATTACGTCAGAGTGCGGAGTCTTGGATATTATGAAACAAGTATGTTGATTAAAATTTAAAAAATCTCAGCTCTCATAATCTGTTCTCTTCCGGTAGTATAATAATATGATATGTACAAACTTTTCAAGAAATTTGCCAAATGTCTCTGGTCCTTCCAAGAGCGAACTTCGAACGGGGACGATTTAAGCAAACCGCAGTTCATCTGAAATTCCAGAAAAAACAACCCACAAGGCAGATTATTAGGCTTGACCATTGCTTTAAAACGGAGCGGGAAGGGGGATTAAGGTGTAATAAAAAATTGTTACTCTTTCCTGCATCCGAATAGCTTGTTCAAAATTGTTTTCAGTTTTAGTTTTAGTAGAAGTTTTACGGCGCTCGCAACTGCATACGGTCATAATATGAGCGCCAGAAGATTAGAGGTGTCACAAGAGAGCAACAAACATAAAAAAGAAGAAGGGGAGAGAAGGACGATAGATGTTTGATTGGAAAGAAGAAGCAAACCACACCAGAGCATCCGCCAACCACCCACTTTTTTAAACAGCGGATTCAAGCTCCGCCTTTCGGGAGAAAAGATAAAGAATGCCTGATCTAAAGTTGCCGTATGGTAGACTAGGCTCTGCACAGAAACACAACTTTTTGGGAAACAATCGAGATGACAGAAGCGTGCATTTGAACGAATCGGTCTTTATTTTTGCTTAGCTCATAATATGCAGACATATTTTCATGCGTGTTTTCAGATGGAATAAGGTTGTTGTTCTCTTATATGTACCTATTTATTGGCTACAGTAGGATATTATAACTCAATCTCAACACAATCATTTTAGTTTATAGCTTATTCAATGTCGAGAAAAATCGTTTGGGTCACTTTTGTGAGCGAGGAAAATCGTGTTCTATTGCATAGTCTATAATAAGACACATTAATTAACTATTATTATTAATTTATGCTGCCTCTAGTATTACATTGTATACGCTTCTCAATAAATATACCATGAATCGTTTACATTAATTTAAGTACGGTTTTGTTTTGCTATTGTTTTATTTTTTGTTTTGTTTCTTTCCTCGTTTGGGGGTGGGGGGGTTTCGGTTGATTTTTGGAGTGTTTTGGGTTTGTTTTGTTGGGTTTTTTGTTTGTTTGTTTGTTTTGTTTGTTTGTTGGTTT